GCGATTTTACACCTTGACACCGCTTTTGCAGCTTATACGGCAGGTATGTATTCGATGTCGTGACGAGGTGGCCAAACCCAGACTGAGATATTCATCGTATAGATGTGATAATGGAGTATGCATTCAGCAAGTCAGATCATAAGGTCGAAGCTCCTGACTTCGATAGCGCGTTTCACCAAGCCTGTGTCGGTGGCGGGAGATACAGTATGCTGATGAAGCAATTTCCCCTAGTTCTGTGGGCGATGAAGCGTACGCCTCAAAAATGGCTACTCCGAATGAATCCAGAAATGACGTCCTTTGTGCGAATGCATACGGTAAGTCGACCTGCGTCAAACAATCGAAGGGCAATGTCCAACTTGCGTTGAGAACTCGCCAGGCTGACGCTAGGCCCCGTTCAGGATATAGCCCGCCAGGTTCAACAAACAATGGAACTTTCAAAGCCGTCCCCAACAGATATCAAATCTACTAGGCACTTGACAATATTTCAAGAGATTCTCGACAGCCGACTCCCGCCTCATGAGAAAGCGCTCGGTCGACTGGCGCAAGAAGGTGGAACCGTGGTGGGTGCGGGAACGGTAACCACGGCATGGGCTATCACTGTAGCCGTTTTCCATCTCCTCGCCCAGCCAAGAATCCTCCGTAAGCTGAAGGATGAGCTTGATTCCACTGATGCTGATGATCTTCTGGGACTTGAAAGACTCCCATATCTCTCTGCGTGCATCCAGGAGGGTCTTCGACTCAGTTACGGAGTCAGCTCCCGCCTCGCCAGAGTCGCTCGCGACGAATCGCTCACTTTCACCGACCCCAATACGCAACAGACCTGGATCATTCCACCAAAGACCCCCGTCAGCATGAGTGCCCTGCTGATCTTGCAGAATCCATCTATTTTCCCGGAACCCAATCAGTTTCGTCCGGAGCGGTGGATCGAAAACCCCGGACTGGACCGATACCAAGTAGTGTTCAGTAAAGGTAGTCGAGCGTGTTTAGGAAAGAATTTGGCATATGCTGAGATGATGATAATCTTGGCCGCTGTATTTCGGCGCTTCGGGAGCCTTGAAGTACGAGGGGAAAGGGACATCGGAAGATTGGAGTTATTTGAGACCACAGCAGAAGGTGACATTGAATGTCACAGGGATGCCTTTTTGCCTCTTTCACAGGAAGGGTCGAAAGGTGTCCGAGCCCGCGTGTGGCCTGTTGCCGTAGGCCCGCGGAGCTGGAAGTCTTTTTAACGAATTGTGACTTGGCTGATTGCTGTTATATGGACAAGCAGGGAGGCTAATGGGAGGAAGGACGATCGCGGCTGAGTTTCGATGGGTAACTACCTAGCAGGAGATTTGGGCAAGCCAAACTATGATAAGTTCATTATTGTTGTTATGTGACTTCGTAATGAACTAGTAAGATAAGCATTGCATATATAAGAGGCGTGTTAAACACGCCTTCGTTCATATTAAGGTTCCCTTAATATACCGCAATAGTATCAGTGAAAGTGTTTCGCAATATTTCGTGGAACAATATATATTTCAAAGAGACGCAATCATCTACATGTGTCTGAAATTCCGTAATGTTGGTTCCATCATTCTTCCAATTCGTCCCTGCAACTGAGTTCTAATAGCTCGAATCCAGTCTTCTTAAACCGTCATAGCTATAGGAATGGGACATTGTTACAATAAAGAGTAAAATGAAGAAAATTTAAGAATGAAAGGCATATACCACTCACTGTGTGACACTCGCAGATCACAGCCGCTTGCGGGAGGGGGCGATGATGCCACGCGGAACGGATCGGCCGGCTGCCACTAGCCAGGTACTAAGGAGGCCTCAATGGCACCCCTCATCTTTTCCATTTCGTGTTGGTTGCATGACCGAGGAGACGCGGAGACATAGGGACATCTACCCCATCCTTGTCGGGCCCAGCAGAGGACAATATTAGCCCAATTGATCTCTTCCAATTGAACTCGGCTATATATGATATTACCGGTCCACCAATTCGATCCTTGCCCTGAGCATGCGTTCCCCCCTCCCCTCTGGTCAGGACCCGACTCAGTTGTCCGCTTCATTGACTAGCGAAGATCCCCTGTCTATCGGCCTGACCTCATTGGTTATGAGTAACACTTGGTGATTGCTCCATTCCTACTGGGGGCTCTGACCAGCATGAGAACCATGTGGCTTGCACTAATACTAGTAGCGCGATGGCGATGCTAAGTCGTTGAACAAGGTGGTGCACTACTAGTATCTGATCTCACCCAATCACAAGTACATAATAATGTACATTTCCCCACATAGATCGAACCAATGTTTCTCACAGGATCACCCCAAAATCTGACGGCCGAATGGAACTTGGCTGAGCTCGCACGACTGATACTGCTCTGCCAATGAACCAAATACGACACCTACAATGACTGGGATTTCATTCGAGCCGGGGTTGTGACCAAATTTATTAAGGCCGACCAACCACCGATTGGTGTCCCCAAGTACGTACTGGGCTTGGCTCATTATGGCAGATTAGACATCGACCTGGTCGCGATCCTCTTCCAAACATGGACTCCCAACATCGTGAGGCATGCGATGCGTGCCATTATCGCAAAGTGCGCTGTTCTTCAGCAACAGGAGGTATGGGTGCCTGCTTGAATTGTCAACGGCATGGCCGACAATGCGTCTTCAGCCCACGGAAGGAAATGGGGCGACCGAGAAAGTCGAAACGGTCATGCTCGCAGGTAGATGTTGATGAGGTTTCATCGATTGAAGTGCACCAGCTTCCGGAGCTGGTGCATCACCCCCAGTCAGATGATGGCGGGCCTCTATTGTCATTAGAACCAGCTCTTCATCCACCAGGAAATGACCCGGCTTGCTGGCCATCGGATGGTTCCCAGTTGTCTTCGGACCAGTTAGTCCCACTCCAGTGAGCCCTCATGGAAGCTGTTTTTTCTTGGTGATAGGGACAAAGAGCCTAACCATCTGCAGGACACTTTTTCCAGCTGAGGCGGCATCAACAAGCGATCCGCACTTTGGCCCTCCTCTTAGTAACAGACGCGTGCCGTCTCCTATGGTTGAAGGCCACATCGGTGGTGGTTCCTACTCACAAGATACCTTCCCGATTGAAGTTGAGGCCCTCTGTGCCATGGGGCCACGGGAACCTCTTCAAGGCCCTGAAAACGTGGGCCACCAGCAGTCTGCAGTCACTGATTCACGACTGGAGGTGTACGACCGACTATCCCCTCTCCTGTTTCAACTCACGCGAGACAGCCAGGCTCTAAAACGTGTCAAACCATGTTCTGGAGCTGAACAGGAGTCGGTCTTCTTTTCCGTGTCTGCATTATGCGATATAATTCACACCCTAGCGCTATCTGAGCAAGGCCTAGGACTACAGAGCTGCGGCTTCTACAGTTTTCAGTCGCGCAATGAAACCGTTGTTCTAGCTCTTACAGCGGTGCTCATAGTTCTTGAGATCTACGAGCTGCTTGCACAGAACGCCATCAATGACATGCCGCTTCTGGAGCAAACCAAATCAGGAGAGCGTGAGGTCCTGCCCATCTTCTCCTCGGGCCAACAATCTCCTTCCTCGCACGCAAGCCCAGGTCGCGGGCTGCACACATACGGGCGTCTAGACACCTTGGTTCGGTACACCGTCATGGACTTTCACCTAGGGCAACTGCGGCGGCTCCTGGAGTTCAACATGGAGGGTTCTACGTCCTGGCAGCCAAATGCCATATATCATTTAGAGTCAACCAGGGGGCGGCTTGATGCCCTACGGATGTGGATTCAAGACTTGGTTAGCCAGGCATGAATGCGAACTTCTCACGTGAAGGGCCATTGTCATTATGATATAAAGTCACCAACTGCCAAAGTAGCCAAATAGCGAGAAAAAGATACACATAGAACGTATCGGAAACCGTTTAGATAAGCTTAGGTGAAAATATGTACGGATGCAGAGCATGGAATGAAACATATATCGTCAGCATATGTGTTGAGCCCTGCCTATCATTCCCTCTACCAATCGTACTATCTTGGCCGTTGAGCCCATATCTCTAGGCACAATATGACCCGCATCATGGACGACTGGGATGGCATCCCCGGAACTCAGCTCGACCAGCAATTCCCCTTGCTGCCGAAATGGATCTGTTCTTCCAATTACATGCAGCGTAGGTATCTCTATACGCAGGTTTGTCGTTCGCGGATCATATTGCTGCAGGATGAGAGGGTCGTCACCAGCGCCATCGGGATATCCATTTGGTCGATGGTGCATGGCGACGATACTGCGGAGAGCCAGGCTGGAGTCCATATCAAATGGAAGACTGGCGCCCAGAAAGATAGCGAGATTAAAGAGTGGCATTGCGGTGGGGTTATCTTTCTGATGCTGGAGGATCATAGACGCAGCCAGTGCAGCCCCTTGTGAGAAGCCAATGACTCCTTCGAATGGGCCGTCTTCATCCATGACTTCTCGGATCAGGGTAAACGCCTCGTGCATTTGAGTTGGAGTTGGACATGAGTAATAGCAGAGATAAGGCCCGGAAAGGAAGGACTGGACCTTCGGATCGGGAAGGCAAGGCTCTAGGCCTTCGGCAAAGACAAACTCATGTTCAGGGAAAGAGCTGGTAATGGCGGCAATCTGGATCTCCAGCACCTGGGCATTGGCACCCATGCCATGGAGACAGAGAAACCTCATAACTGAACTTCAGGAGTTACGGTGGCTCAATCGGTCCCTCGAATTATTGGAAGGTGACGTGAACGATGCTTAAGACAATTCAGACGAGGGTTGGGTTATTGGTGTTGTGAGGCAATGTTATTAACGAGGATCATTCCGGACCGGGAAGGATCTGATCCCGGGCGGGCTTTAGCCTAGCGTCCTGGCGGGTGGCGTTGGATGGTGATACATCGCCGTCTGTCCCCACCCGGGCTAAATATACAACAGCCATATTTGCGGTTGAACCCCTGCTGCCACTAGTCCATCTCAGTGACTTTGGGCCCAACTTTGCGTGTCATGGCTGTGTATTCTGCTGCCTGCTCTCGGTCACATTCTGTCCAATAAGCTTCCAAATTTGCGGCCTTCTTTGATCAGGCTGAGACTTGGGTACAAGCGCATCCTACTGCCTTCTATCTTCCCCCTTCTATACCCTCATCCCATTCCATCCTTCACCCCGATTTCGCACATCTGCCCATTAACCATTCTAGCCACCATTTTGTCTCCTCACTAAGCAAATTGAACAACGCTCAGCGGATGCCATGTCGACACCACAATGCTTTCCATACGACCCAGATATTGTCACGCCCTTCGGCTACCGACCGTCTATCGTGGCGGGCGTCATTTTCATGGTCCTGTTTGCAGGCCTCTTTGCCGTCCATGTCTGGCAAGCATTCAAGTATAAGAACCTCTGGCTAGGTCTTGCCTTCTCGCTTGGGGCTTTCGGAGAGTTCACGGGGTGGCTCGCCCGCACAGTAGCTTGGCGCTGTCCATACTCTGTGCGACTGCTGGAGATGCAGCTTGCTGCTCTGATAATGGGTCCGTTAATACCTCAAAATGCTTCTCTACTGATGGGTCACAACTAACCAACTGCCACTACAGCCCCCGCCTTCACGACAGCCGGTATCTATGGTGTTCTCGGTCTATTGATATCCATAGTTGGCCAAGATAAATCCCCTCTCACGCCCAGACAATACCTGATTATTTTCATGACGGTCGATTTTTGGAGTCTTCTTCTTCAGGCTGTCGGTGGTGGTGTTGCTGGTGCTGCCTTCAGCGCACATACCTCTTACTGGCCCGGTACATATACGATGGTAGCAGGAATAATCTGGCAACTTGTCTCAACCTGCGTTTTTACTACATTACTCGAGTACGTGATCTATCGTGCAGTATACCAGATCATGCAAAATCCAGCCCTGCGCAAAATCACTTCTTCCCTAATGATTGCATGCACGTGCATGGTGGCGCGGGGAATCTACCGCAGCATGGAGCTGATGAACGGGTGGGAAGGCTATCTCTTTACGCACGAGATTTACGCAATAATTCTGGATGCCCTGGTCATGTTTATCGCTAGCTTGGCGTTGGCAGTCTGGAATCCTGCTGTGTTGCTCAAGGAGGCTAGGAGGCATCGCAGCACAGAACTTGTGCAGCTTCGTGGGGGCGAAAGCCAAGATGCAAAGAAAGGGCATCATCAGTATCAGCCAGTGCATGAAGACCCTAATTCTGGGTTAATGGGGTAGATCATTTCACTTTCTCTCCGTCTTGGATTTAGCGTTGGCCACCAAGCCTTGCCTTCGAAATTCTATTAGATCTATCAGTAACACCCGAATCTGAGTATGACTACAACTATTATAATCCTCGTTTCTTGACACAAGGCTACGATAGAGGGGTGAAGGAGCCTGCGGGTGGCGAGGCAGTACAACGTCACCAGGCAAGACACTATACGGATTAGAATATCGGAGACCTTATTTGGAGTACACAGACTATAGACTATAAATTTTGCTGCCAGTACAATACTCTATTCCAACATGACCTCGCTACACAACAAACACGTACACAACAACCCTACATGATATATATATATATATATATTGTTGAGACATTCACTCCAGCCACTGAAGTATCAGCTGATTCTTCGTCTTCTCTTCTTCTTGCGTGGTCTTTCACCACCTCTTTGAACTTGAGCCAACCCACCTTCTTGAGATCTAGATAGATCATATATATTAACCTTTTCCCTTGTCATATCTTGTAACGGAGAAGTAAACTGTTACCTATACAATATGCAATACATTCTTACCCTCCTAGTAGAGCAGATACTGCATCATCTAATTATTTCGCCAGTCTGGGATGGTTAGGGCAGGCTACATCTGTCAAACATGGGAACCTCGCAAGCATTGTGAAATTAGCTCATTTGACACGAAGCGCCATATATACTCCCACCTAAAAAATATATTCAAACCCATTATCCCCAACTCAATTCAACAAAGTACAATCATACACAACCCCCAATGGCGCAATATAATCCGTATGATTATACCCCAAGTTCAACGACATAATCTGCCCCACACTAACATTATACGCCGTAGCGTAATCCTGCAACGTGCCATACGTAAACGTAAAGTCCGTCATCGTGCACGCCGAATTATCACAACTCGGGATCTTCACCGTCTGCCCGGTCTCTAGCACATCATAAATACCGGGGTTCAAAGCAGCAATGTAGCCCGTCTGCGCAGTGAAGCTGAGAATCGAATCCGTTGTGATATTGTACCTTTCGTTAGCGATCTTCTGAATCGTATCTCCGGGTAAGATGGTATACACGTGAGGGCCGCCGTAGATGCATGTAGCTGTTGCGTCGGTGTTGTTCGTGCTGAAGCAGGAGTAGTCATCGGGGAAGGTAGCGCGGGCGGGAATTCGGAGGGTCTCGTTCTCGTATAGGAAGTTCGGGTCGGAGAGGACGTTCAGACGGGCGAGGTCGCAGGCACCGACGTTGTACTTGGCGGCTATGGTGTGGATAGTGTCATTGCCTTGCACGGTATAGGTGATGTTGCTGGCTGCGACGTCGAGGTTGAGGACGGAGCCGGTGCTAGGGAGAACTAATTGAGTTGGGTTAGAATATTTTGGGTCCTGGTGGAATTGATTTAGTATAAGTTTGGTGTGGTAGGGTCTCACCGTCGTAATCTACAGTAGCTGGTAGAGCAATGGCATGCCCAAATAATGCTGCTGTTAACAGAAACAGCTTGTTCGGGCTGGGTAACATGATAGCTTGATCGCGTGTAGCGGGGGGATAGAAGGAGTTGTTCTCGGTATAGGAGATTGAATAACTTTTTCGACTACTCTTCACTGCCATGTCGACAGGACCTATTTATACTATTGAAATTACTCAACACCCCACAATTTCCCGAACAGAAAAACCAGCAATCTGAGGGCACGTCATCCAAGCGCACCGGTCATTCCAAAACAACACCTCCAGCATCCGATCTATAGGTTGACTAGCAAATATCAGTCATTGGAACTTGGGGCCCCGGAGAATGGGCTCAACTCTGCATCCAGAGTAGTGCCCACATTGGCAGGGTGCACGCCAATGCTTATGCGCTGTGCTAGCGCCCCACTCTGTCCAATTCTTTGGGCAAAAATCTCGGATCTAATATCCCCATGGGGACATTGCGGGGAAGAGTCGCCTGCACAGATTATGCTCAGATTACACTAGTCACTGTGTTGCATCGCTACTGATGTCGCGGGTATCTCTGCCGAGCCACAAACAAACCTGTCTCGTATTTCTGAACCGGGTCAGTCTCCTGGAGTGTACGATACTTCCCCAGATAGTATACCTTAGTGTCATTTACTGCTCGAGATCATAGCCCGGATAAAGATTGTGCCACAGATAAGTTTGTAGGCATGTAGCTAACGTACTGAAGAAGCCCGGGGGTTCACTGGTGTATCGCGCTTTGATCCTACTACTATGATTCGAAGGTATCCTGTCTTTCGATGAGATACTAAAACTAACACTACTGGATAAATTCATATTGGATAAAAAGAAAACATTCGAATGAAGGAATCTGACATGACATACAGACAAGAAGAGAAGATTTGCCAGAGCAGGTTGAGAAACTATAAAGTATCCAACCAAAAAGAAGGCATACTAGTCCCCAATAAAACATAATCAATATGTATACAGGCCCCAGTCAAGCTGAAGTTTTGAATAGCTGGTCAACATGCGGGAATAAAGAAATAGAAGGATCAGAATGCAGGAGAAGAAAGAACAGCCAGGCCCAGTTTTCTCATAAGCGTTCTAATACACCGGCATCTTGAAAGCAATCAATTCATAGACCCAAGTCTTCATGCCCTCTGGATCATTCACGCACTCCATGGTGGTGCCATTGTTTTTCCACAGAGGTCGAAGAGGCCATGCGCAGAGCTTCTGCTCTTCGCCTTCATGCTCACCCTGCAGCACCGTTGCGTTGAGCATTTCAGGGAAGACTCCATCCTCAACCCATTGGATCATAGTCTCCAACGTCTTCTGTGGCCAAGGTCTATTGGGCTGGGAGTCATCCGGGCCACAGTGTGCCGCACCGGGAACAAGGAAAAGGCGATACCAATCACCCAAAGCGGCGTAGCTTGCGTTCGATGACATGTTAGGGTACATAATACGACGGACAGACTCGTAGTAATGCACAAACGATGCAGTGGGAACAGTGTAATCAGATTCACCATGGTAGTGAAGCACCTTACCGCCCGCTTCGGAGTAGGGGGACAGATCGGGGTAAGTTGCCTGAAGAGTGTCGTCGTATTTCTGCCAGCCGATGCGGACCCATTCCTTCAGGTTGTCATAAGTGACGTTCTTGAGCGTAGGCATCTCAGTGGCATTGAGGAGATTAATGTATTTCGCCACCCATTCACTGTTTGATTCGGTAATATCGAGGGTCCAAGAGCCGGTATCGTAGTCGTAGTGGGTCTCCGCGTCGGAGAAAGCCGCACTTGGCTGGTAGGAGAAGTAGACTTGCTTCCCCTTCGTATCGTGCATTCCCCGCATGATTTCTTTTGCGACTTCCACACCTTGGGCAGAAACAGTGCCGTTCTGGGCGGGGAGCGCATATGTCTCCGATCGCTTTCTTCTCTTGTAGGTTGTCAAAGAGGAAGCTCCACAACTGTACGGTTCGCCGATCGTGCTGTTAGCGTCGAAGTGAAGCTTGCAGAGGTCCGTTCGCGAAACAACACCATCCTTCTTGCCGTCAAGGGCATCACAAGCCTTGATTGTTTCGTTTACAATCTTCTCAAGCTCACAAGGAGGGGGATAGTAGTCCAAAGTTTGCTCGACAACGGGTGACCAAATGTGCTGCATTTGTTGGAAAGTGAACCGGAAGCCAGGGGCACCTGTCACAGCCCCGCCAAAGTCCTCTGCAAACCGTTGGATCTAACTGAAGCCATCACGGCCACCCTCAGAGCAACCTTGGTAATAAGAGTAGATGGAGGAGGTATTGAAGAACTTCTTGGTAAGCTCTTTCCCGATGACGGTCAGCTCATGGATAGCCTGATAACCGAACATGTAGACCGTTTCGTAATTGAGGGTGCCATTGGCTAGAAGCCACACATCGTCCGAGCCATTCTCAAATCCACCAAATCCACCGTCAGTTGTGCCCGCCACAGCACCGTACATGACACCCCCGGGCAAGGAAGTGCTTCCCAATGTGATGTCATATCCACTGCCACCCGTTGACAGGTAACGGTTGGCAAACTTCGACGGAGCGGGCATCCAGTAGCTAACCACCACCCGGTCATCCCGGCCCAAGTGGGAGTAGGCAAAGGTCACATTGCAGTAGTCGAACGTGGCGCCCGGCCAATAGACTTGGTCTGTGCTCGACATGTTGTAGGCTGCCGCTGCACTCACAGAAGACCTGTCAATTGAGACGCCAGGATATACGCTGTCGTCCGGCAATGAGTTTCGAGCGAAGGAAACTGTACACACATCTTGCAATGTGGTGGCTTGAACCGTTCCCGTCATGGCAAGGGCCGCCGCCCAGAGATGGTGAGATCTCATCACGCACTTGAAGAACAATACTCAAAAGGGAAAACTGAAAAAAAATCAGGAGAAACTGAAATTGAACATTGCAACCTCTGTAGGTCTGTCAGCCCATCTTCAATACCCTCTAAATACTAGACTATATATTAGACTGTTACAAAAGACAATTATTCCATCCACTACTTCCCGTGTCATGATGCGTCCCGGATGTCGCAAAGTCCCGACGGTCTTGTATACTAGGTTAACTCCACTCCCGTCCCCGCAGACCCAAATGAATTGAGGGTTCTGAATGTGAAGGACTTTGTATGTGATAATCTAAACTCGTAGCCGGACGTCTTGGCATGCATACCAGTAACTCCGAGGTCGTAGTATTTGTAGAGTGGGACTCGCAAGGTCACCCCATCTTCGGTCACGTTCAAGGGAACGAATCATCGTCTGGATTTAGCGAAATTAAGCTCGGCCCATTGATGAAGTCCGTATATCGGATGGCAGTTTTGATGCCTGCTTAATGCCGACAGGGACCAGTGGGACGTTCCACATTTTCGCAAAGTGGCTCCTTTCCAGGTTAAGCCTATCATACGAAGGGAAACGATCGACGTCGGAGCGGGTCTGCTTGATAAGATCAAGACCGAGATGATCGATCTCGAATCTGATTCGGCATCAACCAGATACTATACTGTATCAGTTAACTCACATGCGAGGGCTCAGTCTCAGGGTTTTCCTGAACGAGCCTCAATAGCTCCGAGCGCGTCGCAACCGGTAGTCTACATAGTGCGTATCCTCCGCATCTCCCGTCTACGTAATCCCGCTGGGTCCACCGAAGGTACTCCGCAACTCTGCAGACATCGTTTCGGACTAAGTATGCTCGACGCTCGAACCCAGTATTACACTCCTGACTCCCTCCCCAGAAATATCTCGTCTCGGGGTTAGCTGATTTCAATACTATCTAGGTCCACTTCATCTTTGATTCAGACATCTTCGTAAATATCGGAATCTGTGAGGACGATGTATGGCGGTAAAAATGGCGCATGCGTACTGTTGGCAGCGTGTGTGCCGATCACCGGTACAATTATTGGGAACGGAAAATGGAGCAGGTTCTGAATATTCCATCGTTCGTCTAGAACGAGATAGGGGGTAGACAGGACGATCCTTTATTTAATCTGCTGTCATGAGCCATTGAACTCTGTCAATTCACATCCCATTCGCTCTTTTCCATTCCGATCAGTCATTTGCATCTTTTTCATATTCTGTCATTCAATTTAATGCATTTGCATACCATCCTGGCAGCGGGCTGGCTCGCAGCCAGCACCGCCTATGCCGGGCTTTCCTCTCCTTCTACGCAAGCATGTGCAGGCAACACACCGCAAACCCGTAATCAGTGGTGCGATTTTGACATTCACACTGACTACTATACCGAAGCTCCAGACACCGGAGTAGTTCGTGAATATTGGTTGGAGCTGGGAAACACCACCGCTGCTCCAGACGGCGTCCCTCGCAACATCCTGACCATCAACGGAACATCACCAGGACCTACTATATACGCCAATTGGGGTGACTGGGTCCGAGTTCATGTCTACAATGGTCTGGAAAACAACGGAACCAGCATTCATTGGCACGGTGTCCGCCAAAACCACACCAACCCTCAAGACGGCACAAACTCCATTACCCAATGTCCCACGCCCCCTGGAGGATCCATCACTTACGAATGGCGCGCCACGCAGTACGGCACAACCTACTACCACTCTCACTTTGCTCTGCAAGCATGGGATGGCATCTACGGTGCTATTGTGATTAACGGACCTGCCAGTTCGAACTACGATGTCGACGCTGGCGTGCTTTGGCTCATGGACTGGTCACACCGCACGGCCGACCAGATGTATTCCACCGCTGAAACAGATGGCGAGCCCAAGATGACTACTGCTTTGATCAATGGAACGAACATTTGGGTCAAGGAGAACAACGAAACTGTTGGCGAGCGCTTCCTCATGAATGTGACTGCTGGCCAGTCTTACCGCCTTCGACTTGTCAACGGTGGAATGAGCAACTTGTTCCGATTCATGATCGATGATCACACCTTGACCGTCATTGCGGCGGATTTCGTCCCCATCGAGCCTTACAACACGACATCTCTTAACATCGGTGTTGGTAAGACATTCCGCTCCATAGCAATCGAAGAAAAACTTACTAAGACCCGCAGGACAACGGTACGATGTAATCGTCACGGCGAACCAAGCCCACGCCGGGTCCGACTTCTGGATGCGCGCCATTCCCCAGGAGGCCTGTGCCGAGATTGTAAATACCGACATCAAAGGAATCTTCCACTACGAGCAGCCTAATACCGTTGTGGTGACTCCCACAACAACAGCATACAACTACACTGACAGCTGCTACGACGAGCCGTTGAGTAGCACGGTGCCGGTGGTTGCTATCGACGCGTCTGGCGTCGGCTTCACAAGCCACAACGAGGCGAACGTCATCATGAACAGTGCAGGCTTGTACAAGTGGTACATGGGCCCGACCACGTTCAAGGCAGAATGGAACAACCCGACCCTGCTCCAGATCGCTAACGGCAACACTTCATGGACTAACACATCCCACGTTGTTGAGGTCGAAGGCAACGGTAAATGGGTGATTGTCGACATTGAAATGGCCATCAATGTTCCTCATCCTATTCATCTTCACGTATGTTCTTCTGATCCTCGAAACTGCTCGCTTTACTTGTATTGCTAACATAAATCCCAACAGGGACACGACTTCTTCATCCTCGCCCAGGGCGATGGAAGTTACACGTCGAACACAACTCTGAATACCTACAATCCACCCCGTCGTGACACGGCTATGCTACCCGCCCTCGGTTATCTGGTTATCGCATTCAAGACTGATAACCCTGGCGCGTGGCTGCTGCATTGCCATATTGGCTGGCACCAATCGGAGGGTTTCGCGATGCAATTCGTGGAGAGCATGTCTCAGCTCGAGCCTATGATTGATACTTCTGCGCTCGAGAAGAACTGTGCTGCCTGGGATAAATATGCGGCTGCTAACAGCATTGAGGAGGATGATTCTGGCATTTAATCGGGATGAGTTGTCCAGGTGGATGCATAAAAAAGTTTTTCTTCACAGCGCTTTCCGAATACCACATGTTTCATTAACTTAACTGAGGCTCGGGTGGGAATATTGGGAGTTGTATAGGAATACCTAGTTTTGCATGTACAAGAGCTTGTTACTCTGCAGTTTATTTTGCTGTCCAGACCGCCTATATCCGATCCTCAATTCACTCTCATAATCTGATCCTCACCACGGGACGGAAATCATTCATGTGGGTCGCTTTCATATTGCTTTGCTTCTACTGGAGAACTTCAAAGGTAAGCCAGGTTTCGAATATTCCATGGTAAACAGATCCTTTCTCTCGGGTGGACGGAAATTAGGCGGGAGCTGGATCTCAAAGTTTCTGAACAAGTATGCCATGACAATTGTGACCTCGGCGTATGCGACACTACACATCAGACTTTAGTGATATCGCATAAGGTACTAGTGGGGAGCGAACGGGAGAACATACTTTTGACCAATGCACATTCGAGCGCCCTTGGAGAATGTACAAAGATACTGCTCCAGGGACTTCGCTCCCGGCTGAAGCCAACGGTCGGGATTGAAGGCGCGGGCGTCGGGACCCCAAATCTCTTCGCTGGTATGCATTGTGTGGGCTGACATGGAGACAATAGTCTGCAGGGAGTCAGTAAGAAGATGTGCATTTTATTACCTGGTACAAAACTTACGCCGGGCGGGATGACCTGTCCTTCAACGAATGGCTCGCCGAGGTTATGGGGTACGACTCTCGGCAGGCGTCCAGGCACCGGCATGGCGATTCTGAGAGACTCCTTGACACAGGCAGTCTAACGGGTGGTTAGCGAGGGGATTAGCTTTGTGTGTTGGAGGTGTTTATACGTACCAAGTAAGGGATCTTTTCTAGTTCCTGAAGTTGAGCCGTCGGAGAATCATCCACGCTGATGTTCGCTGCTCGAAGAGCATCTGCTAACTTGGAATAAATAGTTGGGTTCGAGATTATATGCATAAAACCAGCAGTGAGAGTTGATGCTGTAGTGTCAGCTCCTGCAATCAGGATGTCAAGTGCCTCGATGACCTTGTAGTCGTGTGGCAGGGAAGATAGAATTTCGAATACAACAGGGTGAGTTGTCGTATTTCCGCGCACCTCATAATGTTCTACACAGCTTTCGGCAAACTAAGTAAACAACCCATGACATTAGCATAAAATGGTTGACTGGCAGAAACATACTAGCTCAGAACCTACCTTTAACATTTTGAGGACATTGACGATATTGGGATCCACCAGTCCAATGACATTCATGGGGACAACCCCCAAGGCTTTCCGAGCGATTGGCCACTCCTGCATCTTCCATATGCTTCGCGCAACGGCGTCGAAGGCGACTAGGAACCAAGACTGAAAAGTAGTTTCGCTCTCTTCTAGCATGTTTGCTGATTTCGCAAAGGCGAATTCCATGATAACCTCAGTTGTAAGGCATCTTCCGATTCCAATATGTCAGCTGTGCCCATGTCTTCGGTTATCTGGGATAGGGATGCGATGGTAAAGTTCCGATCAGAGGAACTTCATCAAGATACTTA